ACACACACACTTTTTTTTGTTTTAAGGGGTAGGCCATGGAGGTAGGGTAGGTAGCTAGTAGAAGAGGCAGCTAGTAGCTTAAGTAGCTACTAGCATGGACGCAGGATAGCGCTTGCACTATTCATTTGGTTCCTATAGATGTTCATGGACACTTAAGCTATCAATGGGAGAGCCCCAACAAATCGCTATCTAAAGGGAGAAGCCAAGCACTCATCCAACCGCTGATGGGCGGACAAACCCTTTGGCTCTCATTTATTCAGACCAGTCTTGAAGCAACTGATGTTCTTCTTCCCAGGTTTTTGGTGGATGTTTTGATTTCCGAGGACTGGTAAACGAGATGATTGACGAGAAGCTGCGTGCGATCCCGAGAGCTGAATGGGTGTTTCAACGTCTTCCTCAGCTTAATGCTGTCTCTTGTAGAATGTCCCAGCTCCTTGCATCAACTTCAATCCAGTGTTTTGCTGACTTCCCTTCCCTTCCCTTCCGTGGCTTTACTCGCTTCAAAGGTAGCGATATGGACCGCCGTGGCAGACGTTCAAGATCTGTCTCTTGGTGAAAAAGAGTCCGAGGCCGACTTTCGCCGGTGGATTTCGCTCGATGGACTCAACCAGGTTCAATGTCCTCCGAGTGGCCTCTTTTGGGGAAGCTGGTGCGTTCCCGTGAGTCAACACCACTAGTAACAGGTGCCTTACTAGTAGTAACAAGAAGCTACTAGGAACAAGTGCATCGCTACTAGTAACAAGTGCCTTACTAGTAGTAACAAGGACGCTATTAGAAACTAATGGCTATTTATTCTCCCGAGGAAGACAGAGCAAGCGCGCTTTTTCACCGGCATGTCTACTGTAGCTGCACTAACCGCAGGGATGATTTTCTTGGCCGACGAGTCAGGGCTCCTGTGTTGAAATGTTTTCAACTTGATGATGCAGGTTGATCCAAGGTCAACAACCACATCGTTCTGTTTCTATTTTTATTTTTACATGCTTTTACAATTTTGGTTGGTGCAGCACCAGTTTTTTTGAACCAAGGAAAAACGTGCAGCGGAAACGGGTGAAGGTGGAAAGCCCTGGAATCCTCCAGACGCATAGACTAACGAGCAAAAGCCCATCAGTTTTTGTTGAATTCAGTTTCTTTCGCTTGTACCTGCTTGGGAACACGGTTGAGTTTTAAGAACTATTGAAAGGCCCTTTGAATTTCACTTCAGCGTTTGGGCCGATTCAATAAGGTGTTTCACCCCATTTTTGGGGTGAGGCTTGCTGACCGACTCACCATGTTGAGTGATCACCTCGTTCCCAAGGACAGCCGCCGCCGGGAACGCCGCCGGAACAGCCGGTCGCCCTCCTGGTGGCCCAGCTGCAGTGGGTATTCTATGGAGATGGAGCCTGTGCACAACTCCACCAGGAAATCTGGTTTGTGGAACATGGCCTTCCCAGAAAGGGGCCATACCTGTTTTCGGAAGGAGAACCGATCGTCGTGTGTAGAACATGGAGACGAATCAACCTCGGCGGGTCTGTGTTCACTCTTCATCCCGAGAGGATTCGTTCACAGAAGCTTTGATCTTCTGAACATTGAACACAATGATCACAATGAACTTCTACAGAAATGGTTTCCTTTTCATCGATTCTATTCTCAATTCATCTCAATTCCGTGTTTCACCGGACCTGCGCATTCGGAGTCGACACGCCCCGCTCCGCAGAGTTCTGGCCGAGGTCCCCGCGGGCGCGCTCCCGGTCACCGGCCCGTGGCGGTCTGCGGAGCTGGGACTAGGCACCGTTGCCGCAGTCGAAAAGGTGCTGTCCGCGCGCAGTCAAGGCATGGCGGGTCTGGGTGAGTCGGTGATCGGTGCAGAAACAGATTTTCAACAGAGGTCAAGACTCGTGGGTTTTTTCTCCTGATACACAAGGTGTGGGTTTTTTCTCAACCAGTCAATCAGTCAATCCGTCAATCAGTCAACCAGTCAACCAGTCAATCAGTCAACAAGTGAATCAGTCAATCAGTCAATCAGTCAACCAGTCAATCACTCACTCAATCAATCAACACATGTCTTTTCGCCAAACAAATCTTACAGAATCGCCCTTTCACGTGGAAACGGGTCCCTTTTGAGCTGTGTTCTCGCACCAAGGCTTACCCTCCTGACCATCCGTTGCCACGGTTCTCATCCTCGAACCAAGGCGATTCGGACAGATTGAAAGAAGATGCTTTGCACTCCAAATCTGCTGTGTATAGTAGCTTAATGAATGGCACAAACCACAGACTTGAGATGCAGATGGACACAGAGCGCACATCGGGGTTTGTTTGTACTAGTCACCATGTACTGTGAATTCACTAGCGCCATTGCGGTCAAACTTGTGCTTCAATTGGACGATGCACCAGGTACCTACGCTGCCAGACACGGCTACACGTGCGACACCACGCGTCGCGGTCTATCAACTTGTGTACTTCCATGCTGGAACTGTTTACGTTCATTTGGATAGCTTTCATCTCAAGAAGTCATTTGGCTTGTAGAGCAAGGCATGGCACACATTACGCAGTGGAATCTACAGTCTGATTGCCTTGAGATCAGGTGGAGTGGTCTTATAATGTTTTACGTTGGACCTAGACCATCATCAGGCGAGTAAGTAAGTTTAACTTATTCCGCCTGTGGATGGTGCAATGCAGATTTGGACTGTCCGCAATGGCATCACGGGAGAAGTGGCTTGCGAACTGCTTGCGGCAGATTTGACTGCTTCACAGTTGAAGAAAGCCATAGAGAAGGAGATCAACTTCAACAACTCCAGGTCGAGCGACTTCGCATGTGGGCCATGATCAGGGGAGTAGAAGAGAGCAAGAATGAGGTGCCATGGGTGGCTGAAGATTTACATGATTTTCTCTACATCAAGATCTCAAGTGCCAATCCTAATCCAGTTACTTTTGCCTTTGCCAAGCTTCAGGCCTGCTTGAGCTATTCTCGCAGCATTTATGCATGAGTCTTTGCATGGCAACCTCCTCTTGCAGGATAGACTTGCTTCAATGTGGACAAGTCTTGCAGGACAGTCAGGCTGGACAAAAAGATGCAACCATAGTTTTCAGCAACCCAACCACCTGCCGTCACTGCCGTCTGCACCTTTTGGCACCGTCTTGGCACACCGAACGTGTGCAGAGCGTCGTCGTGGATACACCAGGTGGTGTGGTGGCACATGAGCCATGGAGACCTGGAGCTAATTGTTCGTGCCAGAGCTCAGTTGATAAAGGGTGAAGACCTTTAGCATTCCAAGACCTTGAAATGTGGACAAGTGAAGCCATTCTACTTCTGAACAAAAGGTGAGCTGCTTATCAATGAATGCCCTTGTTCGTCTCTGCCCTTTTGGCGAAGTGTTGAGGTCTGTGGTGTTTTTGGGTGATTTCGACTGGCCTCAGAGGTGCCCAAGAGTTGAAGGAGGGGAAGTGGCTGGAAATCCGTGGATGGGACCAGCGCTACATGGGGCAGCACATTCGGGTGCCTTGGCCGGATGGGGTGAGAAATCAATTTGGACTTGGAGGCCTGCGCTACTAACTAGAGCAAGGAGCTACCAAGAAGCTACTAGTAGCTCCTGGCATTACTACTAGTAACAAGAAGCTACTAGGTTGGACTCAGTCCTTGTCAAGAAGCGGCAGATGAGCTTAGGTCTTTGTCACAGAAGTGGGAGATGAGTTTGTGAAGGCAGGGTAGAAGCTTGTCTGCTGCATGTCAAACGCTCTGAAGACTTTGGCGTTGCTTTGAGAATGCCATCTGCCATTGCAGGATCCAATCCTGAAAAACTTCTGGTTTTCACCGAACGTCCTTTCTTCAGGAGGAAATTCTTGCTCCCCAAATCGGTTCCTCTACAGGCAACGCCTGCACATGATTCTATGACTCATGTGACATGAAATCACCCTTGTTTCTAAGCACAACTTTGTTGAACCGCCGCTACTGACTCCAGCTTTTTCGGGGGCGTTCTGCCCGCTCCCCAACGCTTTAACGCCATTGAAGAACACGAACTGTCAAGAACTGGAGTCATGCGACCAGAACCCATCGCCACGTCACACGCAGACCTTGAGCATGTTTTGCTTGCTGCAGGAGAACCTTACTAGATCTTACACAGAACTCCATACTTTTTCGTGGGTTTCAATGTGCTGTTTTTCAAGATAGACATCCCGTACGCTGTAGACTACAGATGTTTGTTCCGAGCCGTCAGATCTCAGACCCTTTCAAGACATGCAGACATCGAGCAAGTTTGAATCAACCTTTTCACTCTCAGCCTCATCACAATACAAACAACGGCGGAGTCGTCCGCTCATGTGCATGCTTGCTCTGTAGACTCTTCGGCTGAGCCAAGCCGAAGCTCGCTGCGGGGGACATCAGTCAGAGATAAATCTTAGCGTCACCGTCGTGTTCGATCATGCAACTAAAATAATTAGTCAACTCTATCATGCATGAGATATGACTCAAATACTCTTGCATGTTTGCCGCGTTCTATGCTGTATTTGAGTCATTATGCAATGCATTGCTCGCCAGGGTTCCCCCACTCCCAACCACCAACAACGACCAGTTCGGCGCTGCGCTGCTGCGCCATGGCCTGGCCTGCCGCACGGCTCAGCCGCAGCTTCACGCGCATCTTCGGAGGCTTCTTTGGAGAAGGAATAAGACACGAGCAAGATACAAGATACGAATTGATTCGAACAGCGATGGCCTGCAACCTAGTAGCGATGGCCTCCAACATACAAGATGATACAAGATGATACGAGATACAAGATACTGTATTCACCAGATTGATTGGTTCCAGATCTCATGGTTCCAAATATGAAGCAGACTTGCCATATATGAGGATTTGACAAAATCTATCGTGTGGGTCAGCCCCCATGGTTCCTTTAGCCTGTAAAGGGCAATGGGGGGCCAGCCATGACCATCCTCAATAGGTTCCTTTGTTTGACCATAGATCTTAACAGTTTGTCCATTACTCATATATGAGATACCCGGTGGCAAACCGATAGAAACCAGGGATTGGTTTTGATGGTTTTGAAGATTTTTGTCTCAAAGAGGTGGCTGCCGTGTTAGCCGATAGGGAATCTCTTGTAAGAAATTCCATGAACCTTGAGTGCCTAAATCCTGCCGTGACTATAGGTCTTCACCCAGTTGCACCTGCATATTTTAGACGCTCAGCCCTGTGGCTTTCGGTTGCATGCATCACTTCGACCGTGCCTGATCCGACAGAGCCCGATGCGACGTGGAGCCCGTGAGGCTGGAAGATTCTACACCGAAGCAATGTAGCTCTGAGTCTGGGCGTCCCGGGAGAGAGTTCTCCAGCAGTGTTGTGGACACTAACTCCCGGGAGGAAACGACTATTGTTTGCTTTCGGGCTCCTTTCTTTTTTTGCAGGACTGTTGGGGAGAAAGGAATCTGTAGCTGAACCAACCCCTTGGCAGAGTTGAAGTATGTTGAAGTCACTGGTTAGGCTGATGCTTGGGAGTGCTCCAATTCATGCTATTTCTGATTGAGATTGCATGACAAGTGATGGACTTTGGGACTTATAGATTATAAATGCATCGTTGATTTTTCTGCATGGTCGCGCATATTGAAGAAACCATCACAGGTGCATTGTCATGTATCCGAAAAGGGGATACTTGGATGACCTAGGAACCTGGGGTGCTGAATCACCGGGTATACCAAGGGTTACGACATGATACGACGCGTTCATTGGCGTTCCCACCCAAAGTGGCCCAGAGCTTCCCTTTTCGGAACGACAACGTTTGGACCAATCCGGGGAGGGCGCTCCGAGATCGCGAAGCGCGCGGAGGCGAGAACCGGCTCTCGCAGCTGCTGGAGGCAGAGATCACCACCATGGCCATGCAAGAGGTGTGGGGAAAGCGTGTGGAGAGCAGTTGGGGCTGGCGGAGAAACAGGTGGCAGATGTGAAGTATTTATCACATTTTATCACACAACTGCTGAAAAATGACTTGCCAGGGCCTCCCGTCCTGTTTTTCTTTGGGGTTTGACTTTTCGGGTCTGTGCTCGGCTGCGCGCGGCTGTGCTCAGTCTCTTTTGCGTGACCTATCTTTGGTGATTTGGCGGACCTATATTTTGGATGAATTCGTGTAGTTGTCAGTAAAACACGCTTGGAGCATTGCCCTCCATCTTTATCAAGGTGGCAGGTGCTTGATGCTCCTCCAGGTGAAATCGGCGGAACGTGGACCGGGTGAACCAAACCCCCAGACCGGGCTTTTGGGGACCTTTGGGGATCGCAGAGTCCTGGGTTTTCAGCTTTTGGCCTGAGAAACTGATTCATAAAACTCTCAAGACGAAGAGGTTGTTCAATCAACATGTTGTTATTTTTGTTTATCTATTATTTTAAAGTCATTTTATTCATCAAGAGTCTACATTGGGTTCTTATTGATCTCTTGGAGAACAGCCGTCCGACGCTTGGATGGAACCACTCGGGGTAGGCGCGCAGCATGTCCTTGCAAGACGTCATGGATCTGGGCAAACAGCCCGCGGCCTTGGCGGAGCTGCTCAACGAGGAACTGCCCGTGCGGTATGCACGGCGCATCTCCATGCTGGAAGCCCTGCCGGAGTGGCAAACGAAGGAGAGCATCAGGCTGGAAAGGAAAACACAGTCAGAATGTCAGATTCATGAGCAACAAACAGAGCAGTCTTTGCAATGATTGTAAGTGCTGTTCACAAGCTGAAAGAATGGAAGCTGCTCCAGGCATGTCCGGGAGATGTATGTCAAGTCATTCAAGGACAGATGACCAGACGACCTTGGTTTTCAAAAGATGCTTTGCAGTCATGTCAGACACGTCTTAAAGGATGCCAATGATGATAATCTCAATCTTACCATCTTCCAAGCATTTTGGTACGACTCCATGTTTTTTGAGCCGCTAATAACAAACACGTTCGGCGCTTGATCCACAGCTACCTCATGCCGTTTGATCCACTTTTGGGAATGGGTAGATAAAGTTTTAGGAACCAAAAAGGGTAGAAGAGATATAACATATATGTTGATGGGCACATTTGGCGGGCACTGAAACCTAGCGAGGTTAACGGCAAGATCGGCTGTACACCTTTGCCCAGTGAAGAACAGTTCAAAATGCTTAAATCTCTCTAGCATTGTTGACGCTTGTTGTCAATGGAGTGAACAAAACACGTGCAATCATTGATTGAGGCTTCAGTGACAAAAGGCGGCGAACAGACCAGATTGGCAACCCTCACTGTATACCTCATCATGTGTATTCCAAAGCGAGACTTCAGGAACCAATCCACAGGAAATGCTCCAGAGGGACATGTCCGTAAAACACAACCCGTGCACGCCAAGTTGAAGTATCACGTCGTTTCGAAAAGGTGCAAAAAAGGACATGCCAAGTATGAACACCTCCAGAATCCTCAATTTACATCGCTGCAACACAATT